CTGTCCACTCTGCTCTGAGCTCGTGTCCTCCTGCAGCCCGAGCCCGTTTCCTCCAGGAAGCCTTCTCCCACTCCCCTACCCACAGCCATCAGATGTAGGACACCTGCGGGGATATGGGCTTTCTCTCCCTACCCGGACCCTCGGCTCCTCAATGTGGAACTCGTTCTCTCCTGTCGGCCACCCTTGTGCAGTAACTCCGAGCCACCTTGCACGCACAGGTGGAGGGTGTGTGACAAATGCACACCTGCTCAACTGCCACAGTCATGCTACGGAGCATTTCCAGCACCCCAAAAGGCCCCCCTGCCCTTCTGCGAGAAGCTCCCTCCTGACCCTGCGGCTGGCAGCCACAGTCTGCTTTCTGTGACGACAGTCTTGCCTTGGCTGCAGTGACGTAGACACGAAATCCTAGGGTTTGTTACCCGAGTCTTTCCCCTGCAAGATGTCTCTGAGATCCGTCCGTGCAGGGCACCCCTCTTATCATAGGATTCCACCTACGTGTGACCAGACCGCAGCCCATCCAGCCGGTTGCCCGCTGAAGGACATTTGCATCACTTCCAATTTCTGGCAGGTACAAATGAAGCTGCTCTACACGTTGGCATCCAGCTCTTGTGTGCACAGAAGTTTTCACTTCCTCTTGGGAAAACACCTATGAGTGGGATTGTTAGATTGAGTGCTAAGTGTGTGTGGACTGTTACGAGAAATTGCCAAGCCAGTTTCCAAAGTGGCCAGACTGTTTTGCCTTCCCCTCGGCACGTGCAGGTGCTGGTGCTCTGAGTTCTCGCTGCTGCGTGGTCTAGGTGTTCTGAATTTTAGCCGATCTCACAGGTGTACTGCAGATCACGCCGTGGGTTCTCCTTTCCTGTTTTGGACGACGAAGCACGTTTTCAGGTGTCGATTTGCCATCGGCGCCTCTTCTTGGATGCAGTGTTCTGTCCAATCTTCCAACTGGATAATCTTCTTATCGAGTAGTAAGAGTTCTTTATGTATTCTAGATACAAATCCTTGACCAGAGGTAAGTTTTGAAAACATTTCTTCCCAATCTGTGGCTTTTCATTTTCTTTATGGTGTCTTCTGAAGCACAAACCTTTTTAATTTTGTTGAGGTCCAATTATTATTTTTAAAACTTTCTGCTTTGTGCTTTTTGCATCTTATCTAAGAAATCTTTGCTTAACCCAAGGACACAGAGGTTTTCTCCTGTGTTTTCTTCTAGAATTTTTATAGTTATAGCTTTTACATTTAGGTCCTTGAACCGTTTCTAGCTAATATTTGTTAATATCAACTAGTTAATCTAGTCCGTATGTGTAGATAGTGTGAGGGAAGTTTCGAGGCTCTTGATGTGCATAAGGATGTCCATTTCAATACCTTTTGTTGCAATGATTGCATTTCTCCTGGCTCCTTTGTTGAAAACCTAGTGCCATAAACATAATTATTGATTTCTGGGCTCTAGTATCATGCTGTGATTTATATCTCTTTCTTTAAGCCAACATTCTATCCTGACGGATGTAGCTTTATAGTGAGACTTGAAATCAGGGAGGATGAATGCCCGGCTTTATTGTTCTTCAACATTGTTTGGGGTTTCCTTGGTCCTATGTATCTCTTCTTAAATTTTAGGATCAACTGGTTAATTTCTTAAAAAAAAAAAAAAGCTACCTGTGGTTTTGCTTGAAATTGCATTGAAAATATAAATCAATTTGGGGAGAATCAATATCTTAATACTGAGTGTTGGAGTCCGTGAACAGGGCACAACTCCATTTATTTAGGTCTTTTTTTAGTCTCTCAGTGGTATCTTCTAGTTTTCTGTGAACAGATTTCACACATATTTAGTTAAACTTACCTCTAAGTATCTCAAGGCTTTTGATTCTTTTTGTAAGCGGTACTGTCTTTATAACTTCAGGTTCTAATTGCCCACTGTTAGGATACAGAAGCAGGATTTTTATACACTGGCCTTGTAGCCTGTGACTTTGCCAAACTCACTTGTTAGTTTTGTAGTTCAGGGTTTTCTACAGACAATAATGTCACCTGCAAATTGAGATGGTTTTAATTTTTCCTTTTCAGTCATGTAAAAGCATAAACAGAAGTGTTTTGGGATTTGATTTCCTTGCCTTATTACACTGGTTAGGCCTGTGGGCTGGAATAAAGTGGTGCCGGGGCGCATTCTCGCCTCACTCGGGCCAGTCCTTCATCACCCGGGTGATGTCTGCTTCCCTCTCTTCATCAGACTGAAGGAGCCTGGTCCTAGTTTCTCCAGACTTTTTGTTTGTTTAATCATGAATGGGTGCTGAATAACACCGTGACCCGTATCGATCAATCCTGAAACTTTAGACTAACCTTACATTCCTGGGGTAAGGCCCGCCTGGTCATATGCTTTACTCTTTTTTACATTGCTGAAATCGGTTTGCTAATATTCTGGGAAGGAGTTCTGTGTCTGGGCTCCTGAGGGATACTGGACTTGGATCTGCTTTTCCTGCCTTATCTGTGTCTGGATCTGGTACCAGGGCTATGATGGTCTCATACGAGGGGTTGGAAGCTTCCCCCTCCTCTGTGCTATTTCTTCTTTAAGTGTTCGGTGCAGTCCTCCGCCCAGATCCCTGGACCGGGCAAATGGAAGCCTGGCCATGAGGGGTTGTGCTCTTGACCCCCACAAAGATGGGGAGATGGTATGTTCTGCTGTGAATGTGTTGAGTTTGAGAATTTGTGCAACGGCCACAAGGAGAGGTGCAGAAGGAAGGTGGCCCCACGGCCCTGGAGCTGGGGTGGGGCTGATGCTGGGCTGAGGCAGTCGCCTGGAGGACTCGGACGGGCAAGTGGAGGGGTCCCACACAGAGCCCTGCGAGACCTCGATGGGTGGGGTGAGGCTCCACAGAGAAGACTGAGATGTGGCCCCAGAGGGAAGACCCTAAGAGCTCAGGGGTGGGGTGGGGTGGGGATGGGAAGTGGGAGTCTTGAAAGCCCGGAGTGTCAGATGAGAGTGGTCAACAGGGCCCGAATGCTGCTGAGGCTACAGGGAAGGTGAGTCCTGACAAGTCCTGCAGGTTGGCGGCCCTCGAGACTGTGGTGCCACTGTCCCAGCACATGGAGATGTGCAGTCAGCAGGGCTTGGCGACACACCTGGGCTAGCCCTCCACTTCTGCCTACAGAGGACCCTCACCCACCCTGCACACTTGACTGGTCTGCCTCCAGGGAGAACTGGCCACTGGGCAATTTTAGTCCAAGTTCCCAAATGCTCCTTAAATCCAGCACAGCTCCCGGCCTGGAGCTGAGCCTCGGGCTGTGTGTTTCATGCTATGAGCCCTCTCCACCTCCCCCCAGAGCAGGGCCCTGATTAGAGCTGCACACCTTTTGAGGCCCGGGCACCTAGAACAGAACCTGGTTAGCGCGGGGCCCAGCGGGGCAAAGAGTCCTTCCGAGGGCGGTCTCCCCTTGCTGAGCTGAGAAAGGGGAGAAAGCAATGCGAACAGCCCCCGCCCGCCCTCCCACCCCGGGCGGGGCGCTAGAAAGATCCGGGAGTTTGCAGAGTTCCCACAGCCCTTCCCCCAGGGTGAGCAGGAGCAGGGGATGGTCCTGAGCTGGCGGTAAACAGCGGGGAGCGCGCAGCACAAAACCTGCAGGTGCGCCCTGGGCAGACTAGCGCCTCGGCCAGGAGCCCGGCGGCTCCAAGGCTGCGGGCACCCCCGCACCCACAGGGTTCTGGGCTCCCGGCCCCGGCCCTCGCCTTCCCCTTCCCCGCCCCCACCCTCTGCAGCGCTAGCGTCTTTCCGAGAGAAACGGGGGCCCTCCACGTCTGGCGGCCTCTGCAGACGCCTCTCCGGAGCCGTCGGGGCCAGTGCGCCTTGGCCCAGCCGCCGAGCCCACGGAAGATGGTCCGCGCAAAAGCCCGGGAGCCGCCCCCGGAGGGAGGCCGCTGCTGCTGTATGACCCTGGGTGAGTTCCTTGACCCCGCTGTGCTGGTCACCGTGGACACCCGGGCAAATGGAGCGGAGGCCAGCGCCCCGGGCACGGCCTCGCGAGGTGCAAGGTCACGACTCGGCCGCTCGCCCCCCGCGGCGCCGCCCCTCCCGGGGCAGGGGAGGCGGCGAGAGACTCGTTCTGACCGCGGTGATCGGGGCCAGCAGGGACGGCACGGGGGGGCCGGGGGGGACCAGGGGAACGGGGGGGATTGGGGGTGTCGCCGCAGCACCCGCCAGGGAAGCGCCTCCCGGACCGCTTGCTCCGCTGCGGGAGCTCGGCGGTCGGGGCGGGGTCCGG